CAGAACAAGGTTATGATATGCTAAAGGTACAATAAAACATTACGCGATCGGCCATCACTAGTTTAGACTATGATTTTTGCTTTAATCAAAAGTGGTGAAAAATGACTGTTGATGAGATTATAATCTCAATCCATTTGGTGTTTGGTCTGCCCCTAGGGGTCAGTTAGGAGGCATGCCTCAAGGTGATAGTTGGCAAGGTGCTAGCGTCTGCTTGAGCTGTTTCTGTCGGGAAACGTCGCTTCGGATACATATTTTTCCGTGTTTTTGATGCTCTTTCTTTTTTTTTACTTGTTTAATTTGGACACAACGCACTGGTTCTGTGTTGCTGACGGTAGACGGGAGCTGATTTTGATATGAGCTATCACACACACACACACGCACACGACGGACGAGAAGAACTTCGGCGGCTCAGAACGGTACGAGCTGGAAGGGACGCGTAGTTTCACTTGGGGACCCAAAATCACTGTGAACTTTCGACTAAACTTTGTTCAAAGATAGCAGAGGAGCGTAATCAGCGACTCCTGCCGAAACCACCCCAACGGACGTTCAATGGATTGCTTGAAGTAGGGTCACGGACAGATACGATCGCAACGCGCTACGAGTGTTGTTATGTACTGTCTCTCACGACACTCATAGTGCCAGTGAGTTTATTGGATCGGTGGCAGTCTTGGAAGCGGTGGCAGTTTGCCTTCGGATGGGAAAGGGTACTCCGGGCGCGTCGATTTTTGCCTTTGGATGGTTTCCCTTCTAACTGCTGCTCCACCACTATCCTAGCCAGTCCCCTGCTTTCCCTTTAGACGTTCGCTTTAAGGAGAAAGCCTCTATTTCTGGCTTTCCACGCAGCGAGGCAGATCTTCTCTGTTCTCGTCCGCTTGTGACTGCCAGGATCGCTGCCTGGATAGCTGCCTGCCGTGCCAACAGCAGTGTGGGCGCAAAACGAGGCACGGGGCAGATCAAGCTGGCAGGAGGTTCAGAATCTGTCTGAGCAACCTGGCTCGCAGAACGAGGAGGAGGGCAGACCTTGGTAGTCCTTGGCGTGTTCTGTGCGGACCCGTTCGCTCGCACAGTCATCAAAACGAGACGGCAAAGGATACACATTTAGATCTATCTAAATAGAATAGCAAGGACGTTGACTCAAATGTAAGATAGAGAAATTTACTCGGAGCATAAAATCGTGTTTGCGAAAAGTGTCTTGACGTTGTTACAACAGCAAAAAGAAACATTGTTACACCTCTGTTTGCATTCAGCTCGATTCAATCGAGATGGACGAATTTATAGCTTTTACGTCAAATAGAATTGTTATGCCAAACTTCTTTAATGTATATCAAAACTAAGTGCGGTCCATGCGTTTGTCAGGTGCGCAGAAAAGTATCTGCCAGTTAACTTTTATTCTGCTCTCTTTTATTCGGTCATCAACGCAGAACTTCGAATGTCCATGTCAAGTTAAATGTGCGTCATATATACGTCGACTTGGGTGCGTTTTCGTCTTGGATGGAATAAAAATCAGTGCAGAAATAGCGTAGGCACCGTACATGTATATACCTAAAACTCAATGACCTTGCCGGGACCACGAACTAGCTCAGACAAGCTATTCGACCTATCTCGACCTGTACAAATATGCCAGGCTGACCGTGGTGTTACCGGTGGAAAACAGAATCTGCGCGAATTAAAAGGGACAAGGAAGTTATTACCTACGAGTTTCAGTCACGCTGTTTCATTCCTAGGACCTGGCGATGGTAAAGAGCGCTCGCTTAGAGCAACTGGAAAAGATATTTACGGCGAACCGTTGCTAGCTTTTAGTCATTCTATCGCCTGTTTATCCTAAAAATCTTATCATTTGCGAACGAATACTACAGAAAACAATACGTAGCCATATGATTTAAGTTACAAAAAAAAATTACTACGATCAATTAAGCTAAATTGAAGTAAAGTGTATCGTGATTATTTGATGAAAGGTGCTTTATCTTAACAGGGAATGATGTATAGCTATGCCCAGTGCTGAAGTTGTCGTACGGCCACCGCAACACTACGATATGTCAGTTCAATTGAAATATCCTCTAGCTAATGAAAAACAACATGGCGTTATGTTGTAGACAAAACGCGACCGATACTACCATAACAGTGTACACGTATCTGTTACAGATACTCATGGATACCACGCTACATGATGATAGCTCAAAAATTCGTACAATAAAACACTACAATTTATAGCGCATAGCATCGTGTGTCCACTTTAGTATTCGTTGGATTTCATTAAACTACCATATGAAATGAAGTGCTAACGACTAGCATCTGAAACAAAAAAAAAAAAAAAAAAAAAAAAAACCCAAACGATTGACTGAAAAAAATGTGTATGATAGTAATATTAGCTCTTTGACTAGGATCATGAATATTCATCCAGTCACTCGTATGGCAGAAGCGCCCAAGGACAGGGGAGTAAGGACCATTTCAGGAACATCTAGGTGGAGGCAATATAAACAGTAAGCGAGCTCAAAGTGAATAGGTTTCCCTATAAAATATATATAACCATCTTCTTTTCTCATTTCGGGTTTGAAATGTTAAAGGATTATTGAGGTCACTAAGACGTCATAGTGGGTTCACCCCACTAGAGCATTGCAGTTCTTCTTCCCATAGAAGAAGGATTTTAATGTAAGGGCAACCCGAAGAGGTTTGATCTACTGTGAAGTCTTGCCTTCTCCAACCTTTACTGACGCAGGTGAACCATAATCAGGGGTTTTAATAGCAAATATTCAGGTGGAAATGACTTGAGATGTTTTCAAACTACATCTTTACCATTTATGTATCGGTTTCGGAATGAGTACGTCACGTAATGGAGGCCGCTGTCTTGCTAAACTGTTGGCATATAGAATGACAGGCTTATATGCCTCGCATACTTAGGCTGTATTGTCCCACGATGTTGGATTTTCACAGAGGGACAACTGATCTCAGTTAGTCGGACTCGGAGCATCAGAAAAAATGGTACTATGACTCATTGTGGCATCTTAAAACGTTGGGTCTGATGTAATACATTTGGGACGTTGCCAAGCATCGTTTCGTCTAAACTAGCTATATCCGGATCGTCACGACGACGTCTGACGTGTGTGGTCTGACTAAGTGACCCAACAACAGACAGTTTTTATATAAGAGCATGTTTTTTGAAAAAAAAAATGTGGAACATAATACAATTATATAATACGAAATATAGGGCGTCTTCATTGCTCCAATTCACGCTCAACTTTTTATTATGGTATTCACCTGATCTTTGCTTATTAACATCGTTCGTAGAGTTTGAAACTACTTCCGAAAATCGTAAGAGTACATAAGGTGCCTATCTATGCCATACGCATGCAACGTAAGCCTTAACAAAGAGCGTAACTAGCCAAACTCTATTAGAAGGTACAATATGTCAAAGCGAACCTTAGGCAGATGATATCATTAAGGCACACTGAACGTATCAACAGGAAAACCAAAAAGGAAGGACGATTATACCGAAAAGGCACAATCGGATCCGTCTGTTGAGAAATATGCGTTTAGATAACTGAAATCTAGATAAAGTTGATTTGTATACGATAACAACGCGGAACACTTATTTTTCGAATCGTACTTATGTTGTCTTGTCGTTGGTTGCCTGGCCTTCATTGCTTTTTCTCCTCCCCTGACAAGGACAAGTGGGCGTTCTCGTTCGCAGTGACACAGACTGGGCCAGAGACAATCTTTCAGTTGATGTCTTCGGGCCGAGCAGCTAAGCAAGGTTATTTAAACGGTTCAACGACACCCTGTCTAACCCAAAACACCGGGTAGACAGATATTCTATGATACAACCATAGCTAAAATCGTGCTACATCCTGTGTAGACAAAGCGTATCTGCCAGGGACGTAGTAATCTCTCTGGCCTAAGATCGTAGCCTCCCGCTAGAATTACATATTTACCGAAGACGTTACGTGTTTATCCGTTCTTAATGTTATCTCACGACCTTCAAGCTGGAACTCTCGCTTAGGACATACCTTTATGGTCAACTATTTGCTTCAGCCAATTCGTAAGGTGAAGTTATGAGAAACATTTCTGTCAGGAAATTTAAATTAGTAGTTATCATATAATTTAAGCAAAAAAAAAAAAAAACGAAAGTTAGAACTATAAAAGGAAAACATTTTTTTTTCTGCCTCCAAATGTGCGTAGTTATTCAGACCCATAGTACAAGACGTCATATAAGCTGAACTGCTAATTCATTAGGACTGCTGTTTAAATCTCCATCAGTATCACGATACGCGCCCGTGCGATCAGTCAGATTGTCACAGATGCATCTGGGTACACACCACACAAGACGACGCTAGCGCTAAGTCCACCAGAATATTTTACAATTCTGGTTCTTCGAAAAGAACTCCCTCTGTTTAAAAAATTCTGGCAGGCTCCAGTGTTGCTAGAAACGAGGGTTTTCGAAGAGAATCGCATAAATCATGACTAGAAAAATGCGTATTGCTCACGGACAATATAGACTGTCGTAACTTATAGCTAGCTCAGGCTATAATTTAGGTCTAAAACGCTTGATTGTTCTCTTGGATTCGTGGTTATTCTCAGATATACTTTGATCGACCTGTATTTCCATATTGCTGTGTCAACGTTATCAGAATGTCCTGCATTGGTTCATCAAGATAGGTACAGGGTCAGAGGCATATGTTCTCCACGTCCGTTGCTACCCGCTGACACATCGGCATGGCTTTACAGCGCTACGTCGCTTACAGTGCTAGAAATCGATACGATAGCTCTTAACGGACGATGACGAAGCTGCTGGCAGCTTTGTAAAGTTAACATACTACTAGTCGATTTAATGGCGGCAGTTTTTTGCTGAGCACTAGAATAGTGATTCATCAAATGTCGTCCGTTTTCTCGGAAAGCACGATATTTACACCAGAATCATCCACACAATATCTCTCCCCAACGTAAGGGAGATCTATAGTTTCTCTTATACATATATATATATATATATATATATATATATATATATGTAGACAATTAAATCGACTGAATGTCGCGGCATCCTGTTGGCACTGTACCCGCTAACAGATGCCGGTAATACCGATAATGAAATACAACTCTTACTAGAAGATTCGTTGAAAGAAGTAGCTCGGGAATGAAAACAATGGCCAAGAGAGCTAGGCATACTGGAAGTGTTCACGCCGACGGCTACCGAGGCGCTGATATCTATATTAAGGAGGCCTTTATACGTTGTGCTAGCTGGTCGCCATCGGTCCCTGTACAATGCAGTACTATTTAGCTTTTTCACTGGGAATCCTATTATGTTCATACGAAAAAAGAGTAGAGTGTTATGAGAGACAATTATGGCTAACGGAGGACTACTATGAGCCGTCTTCATTCTTACTGTATAACGGCTAAAATACTGCTTGCACTTGCACTATTAAAAATCGGCCTTCTGATCGTTAGATTATTTACGGAGAGAAACACTTTTTACCGGTATAGTTTATGGAAAGGGTATTTCTGCACCGAAAAAGTTTTAGCTTCAATGGGACTCGTATATTTCAGAAGTCCTCTTAGATCAGACCTGTTAATACGTATCGACACGTAGCTACGTTTGCATGAACAAATGCATCGTTGAAAATAGAAGCCAAAGCAATTTCTGCCGTAAGTATCTAATTAATTAGATAAATCATGTTAAGTAGGTGTCAATGGTCTGCGGTCACCAATCTCCTCAAAAGGATTGTCTATTTTCATATTGGATAGATTTACGTTTTCAAACTTATTTGGCTCTTTCTCCTGAAGAGACTATATGCATATATATGCAGACCGGTGTTGCAAACGGTTATGCAAAGGTGGCCGGCAAGCCTTTGGTTCATGTGTTGCTTGTCAAAGGTATGCAAAGCTAACGGTGACCTCTACCCAGCCGTGCGACTCAGCAAAACCCTGTTCTCTATACGCGCCAGTGGCCACATCATCTATTGCCAGCCAGAATCTCTGAATCTGAAGGCAAGTCGACTCCGAATTATCTCGGCACCATCATCATAGGCGCAAGCGGCGCTTTGCTGGGGCCGTTTGCAACTTCCAGATCACGGTTCGTATCACCGGCGCGTCTTCAGCATGCTAGCGCGGGCTCACTGCTAGAAATGAGCTATATAAATATATAGCCTAACTGACGTGCTCACTGGGCCTAAAAGTTTAGCTGGCAGCTACATGCGATTGACTGGCTGTAATGATCTGCGGCGGCCGAATGTTAAACCGCAGACAAGCTCACGTCGCGCTAGATAAAGCTAAAAGGATTCAACTGACCAGCGTCTGATTTGTCTAGCAGCGGCAATATTATATGTTAATATTGGTTTTGTATCCGTTGATCAGGCACGAGGTAACTCTGTTTGAAGTATCATCGTAGTATACCTGAGATCGTATGTATTTTTGAATAGCGGGCGCTAGTATTGCACGTCAGTGCTTGTGAAAAATATGCTGTCCTATATATACAACATAAGCTAACTAAACAGTAGTTCAACAGATTAAATTCTGTGAAAATAATTTAACCTGAGTGTAGCATGCTAGACCAGAGCGAACAACCATAACATGAGTGGTAAGTCTTCGTCAGCAAGGGTTACAAAAAAGATCACGGGGCGCCTATCACATCACTGGCGGGCTCGCTCGCCTGTAAGCTCGGCTGAACCAAGCACAGTGTATACCAGGTGGACAGAGTATAACCTGAACGCATTTTAAGGTGACCTTGTCAGGTCATAGACTCACTGGCCTTACACACAGCGTACAAAGATGCTATGGCTTTGGGCTTGCTTGGCCGACTGCTTTCGAACTTTTTGCTCAGCAAACAGACGGCTTTTATTAATAATGGCTTTCGTGTTCAACCTTGCTTGTGATGAGTTACCCTTGTAACGTGGTGACAGGCCCTCAACTGCTTAACTAGCTGCTACCAATGCACAACTGATAAAAATCAACCATTGCTTACATAATGGCAGTAGAAAAAGGAAGGTTTCTCCCTCTAACTATATAAGCCAGAATACGATCGTGCGCAGCCGAGTATCTAACACTAGAAGCTTTGCAATTAGCGAAGATAATATGTGTTACGGAAATTCATGCCTTCTATCAACGCGACTCACTTCCCTTTAATAAAGCAGAGTGCTGAATAGTAGCACGACAACTCTAAGGGTATCAAACTCGGTAACTTCAGTTCTACGTTACTGAGGATGATTTTTTGCGTTGGCTAAGCCGCATGAGCGTTGGCGGTATTTGTGGGTCGCGCGAATACCGGCACCTATCAAAGGCCATCGAATAATGTTCTTTACTTTAGGCCAACAGCTGTTAACATTTGATTCTGCACCCTCGTTACGGGGCTTTCGGCGATCAACTCTATGGAGCAACAAAAATCACAACTTTGAAAACGTAATATGTTATTCAAGACTTACCACTCTACAGATTTAAGGGAAAACTATTTCTAGCTAACGCGACACACGATTCTAAATCAATTCTTATGAACTGATTCAGAATCGTGATACACCTTCAGTTTGAAAAATAATTTTTCTTAAATTCCCATGTACAATTTAGTCTAGGGCAGTTGCTAGTAAATTCAGGCACACAGTAAATGGCGTAATCGTCGATTCTGTCTCAACACGCAAATAGCATCGGGCCTACTACAAGGCTTGCGCTGGAGAACTAGTCATGAGCCAAGCATCGTTGTTCGACGTTTCTAGAGACAGATAAGTAGTACATTAGTCGACGACTTTCTGTGAGAGACCCTTAAGTATGATCATGTACCCCCTAGGAAAGAGTGTAATATACCCGTATGAATGTAATGCATGAAAAGCACAATGTTTTTGCAATGTATGGTTTAGGCGAACTAGGCGGTATCCTATGGCCCTAGAATATATATTGAGTATGAAGGAACATCCGTGGTAAAATGGGTTTAAGCAGCAAAAAAGAAAGCTAAAAAAGGATTAAAGTCAGCGCCTGCCGTTTTTGTTGCAAGTCGCGCACGCTTCATAGGCGACAAAAATTTTAGTATAAAATCCAGCTGAGCATTGCGTCGAACCCATGTGAGCTTCTACAATTCTGACACAGCTAGCTTAGCTCCACGTCGCAGAAATATTAAATGACCTAAAATTAGGAAAACTACGACACGAGGCCGTATACCCTTGCATTACCATCAAATATGCATGTTAAAAATAAGTAAACAATTTATCACATACACAAAACAGTAGTGGCAAAAGGCTAAGGTAGAGAAATGATATGCTAATATGTCGCAGCTTATTGCCCTGACAAAAGTGGGTCGCTCCTTTATAGGATATTGTAACAGGATGTTTTTGTTACCAATTCGTGTACGCGACTTTCTTTGACTTTTTATGAAGCTTCTGAACGAACAAACTTATAGCTAAACAGCACCGGCAGCTTCGTCCAATTCAGACTCAGTGACAAAAACATGTACTTTTAAGCGATGGCTACCTAATCTTAAGCTTGCTGACAGCAATGGCCTCGTACCTGGTCCTTTGGACCTATCTGCCAAAAGTAATATTATCAATGCAAAATGAGTTTCGGCAATTGAACGAAGAAAACGCCAGATTGCCTGCACCGCAGACGGTGGTCAAGTCACTCTTTCAATGCTGTTTGTGCACCCCCATAACGAACTGTGCAGTTCCGTTAAACTACTACTTAACTTCGGCTGATGATATCTACTTAAGGTGCACTATACATATATAGGACTTTATACTGAAGTGTGTATATGTCCCTTTATTTTTATAGACGTGGTAATGCTAGTATGTGTTATAGGGTCTACGAACGATTCCACCTAAAAAAAAACATACCGTAAAAACAGCGCAATTATCTGCGCAATTACCGCAAACAGTTTTGTTTATTCTAGTAATTTATGTCTTAACTGCTAGAGTCGAAAATCGTTTGGTATCAACTTAGCGGATTTTAGGCAATGAAATGAAAAATATCTATAGAAAGCTAATTTACTCTGTGTGAAGCGATAGACACGTTGAATCCTTGAGGATACTGGAGTCTCTAATTTTATGTCGTTTCGGTAATTTTTTTGCAAACGTTGGAATCTACACGCCGGTCGTTCACCAGCAAGTGTAACGCTTAAAGTGTGCTCCACTCCCTGCCTAGGTTAACCTGTATACATCTTATTTAAGCTGAGAAATTATCCATGTTGCGATCCGCCAACACGAATCGTTTTCTTAACGGTTTACACAGGGCTAACCTTTAATGAAATAAGTTGGCCATCGGATGCGGACCCAATACGTGGCACAAAAGAATCCACGGAAATTACGTCTATCGTACGAGACATAAATCTACTACGTTTGTAGCGATAATAGTGTTTTCAATGATAATTTTGAATCGTTACCGCGGTTCAATATATCTGTTACCACGGCCTACGCGAGTCATGCTGGAACCTGTACATATATTGGTGGTATTATTATTGTTAACTGTTAGTCTTCACGTGTTACTAATATCAAACACGATTTCAGGTAACTGAGCTGAAATTCTCGATTCTAGCAACTTACTCACAGCTTGCACCGTTCTGCTCGTGGGCGTTTGCGGTGCTTACTTAGTGATGTTGATTGATAAGGATTTTTTTAAAACTGATGTACGAATAACGGAAAAGTAACAGTTCGTCTCAGAAAGCCTATGAAATGCTGACCTAACGCACGATGCATACGTCCAAGCTAGGCCCATTACATCGACAAGCCCTGGGTCCGTTTAGAACATTGACGCTGAGAGGCGTTTTTAGGGACTTACCAGTCTACATTCTACGTAGAAACTAATATGAAAACTCTGCTCTACGCAATTTAAATGCACGGTTAATATTCGCATAGAATATAATTGATATTATCTTTTATTATAGTGTCGTCAGCCGATGACATCAATATAGCTATTCCGCAATTTCCCTCATATGATCGGCATGATGCGATCGCTTATATATTACTAATGATCAGTATTATTATTTCATTCATTCATAGTTATCGGTCAGGAATCAGGACATTTGTCATCTGTAGCAATCTGTGTTTTTGTGTGTGAATTGTCATCGACTTTTTTTCGTGTATAGTATATGTTGCTTGTTGCTATGTTATTATTATTCATGTTGTTGCAATCGACAGTTTTATCTGAAGTTATTAGGCTGAGGTTCGAATCGATCGAACCTCGAACCTAAACCTTCGCTCGCTATACTACACCTCAGTTTGAGCTGAGGCTCCTTAGGAGCCCGCAAGGTTCCACGGCTACCTAGTTTGTACTCCCAGCGAGGTCCTACGAACTTGCCCTTCAGGGCCAAATCTGCATTGTTACTGCGTTGGGCTTTTCAAGCTCATTTGAAGCATTTTCGAGAACAGGACCAATCGATATGGCCGATTCTCTGCCAGTGTGTTTCGTCGGTTTTTTCTTGTTGGAATTTTAACACAATAAAACGTATGCTCTCTCTCTATTATATACGAATTGTTCAACTCTTTCACATTAGTAGCTCGTTAGATAGCAGATGTCTTCCAATATCAAAGCTGGTTCTAACAAAATAGGTACAAGTATTATGACTGAATTGCTCACTTAGAAATTTTGGTATCGAAATGGAATCGCGATGGGAAATCACACGTTCACCCGACAACGTGCTCATTCCTAGAGATCACCATAGGCTGGAAACGAGGACGTGCATTTTCAGATCACAGAAAAAAGCTACGCGGAGGCTAACAAAGGTGCAAGGTCTTATCACATACACGTGCTTCGCAGAAGCCGTACGCAACGTTGAGCGGTGGGACTCGCAGCGGCCACTCGCTCAATGGCAAATCAATCTGCTCCCCCGTTTTACTTTTCTCTATTAGTAATTCAGATACCTCAAGTGCCTGACGATCAGAAATAGTTTAGGTATATCTATTCGATGGTATTATTGATAATCAACTGACAAGCGTTTGCCTACTCGCTCACTCGTGGCAATCGATCCGTTAAGATGAACATAGATCTTGCCTTGAAGCGGACCTCGCCGAGAACAGAGTTTACCAAAAAGCAGAGGCGTCAAATGATCAGAAACGCAGCACGTCCAGAAAGATTTTTGCTAATACTTTGTGCGCGGAGGAACATAAGTGAAAGGGACAGCTTAGGATAAATTGTCTGGTCTCTTAAAGTTCTCATTATAAGTGGATTTTGCTTCAGCGACCCAATACAAGACGTTTCTGAAAGTGAACCGTTTCAAACGTAGCCTCCACTGATGGCGCCTATTGGGTAGAGTATGAAGTGCATGCTGTTGTTGTGTAGTCAGCGCTAACAACCCTCAGAATTATGTAGCAGGTTTCCTCAACGATGATCACCCCACTTAGTTTCAACTAATTGGCAAACGATACGCGCTCCTCTAGAAATTTGTCAAAATGCAAAAAATGTTTACTAATCACTATGTGACTCAATACAAGTAGTAGATGATCGATTTCAAATGAGTGGTGAATGTATGATTCTTGTTGATTATTCTTTTGCCTTTTGCCATGTCGTGTATATTTCTACATATTTACCCCCAGCATTGCACTTAAACTGGGCCTGAACAGGCGCAAATTTATTGCTTAAGTAAATTTTGCATACACAACAGGAGGAATCTGCTGCACACATCCCGAAGGGGGGATAGCATGGCATTGTGGCTAATATATTATAATATGTAATTATAATTACATTTTCCACTAATAGTCTACCTTAATTAGGATGAAATCAGTATATCTGTAGAATAGAATACTGTTATTCGATATTATGACATTGATCGTGATAATGGTAATAACGACTGTACTCGTTATTATTGATGATAAAACAATGAGCATAACAAACAGTGAGGGGGGCCTCGTTACACGTGATGACGGTTGTCGGGGGCGAACCTAATCTTTACTTGCTTCGAGGCCTTGCACGAAATCTCCACGAATCGTTTACTCAGATCTGTCCCTCCGACCGCCAAAGCCTGGCAATTTGCTGCCTGATCGATCCGATAAAGTATTTCTCGTCGAGAATTTCCGTCTCCTCATGTATGCAATGCTAAACTACCGCCTACAACTTAAATCTGTCGCAACTGACTGTAGACGAACAGAATCGAGGTTCACAGAACTCGCATGTGATGGACGAATACCCGATACAGCGCATTTGCTCAATCCTGGATGATATATACACGGAAAAATCAGAACTAGAAGGACCTCAAGTTCGGTTGTATTTTGGGTAGACTTATGTGTGCTATACGCAGAACTACGAGATTATACATCGGGAATCGCCCCTTGGGCGAAGGGCCACTAACCTCTAGTGAGATGGGCATATCGAGGCGCGCACTCCGACGGAGCCGAACATGAACACCTGCTTCGCTTTAATTACTTCATTACGCCCATTCTTAAGGACAATATGAGGGACAATGCGAAATCGATGTAACAATCAAGGTGCAATCAGAAGGGTTTTTCCCTAAAGAATATCTGATTTGTCAGCATAATCGAGAAATGATGTCTGATGATCTTAGTACTAGAAGTGGGATTTTAGATCGTAATCTGTTTCCGATTTGAACACTTACGATATAAACTTTTATAGTCGAAGGTTTACAGGCCTTCCGAATCGAAGGTTCTATTGGTATTTAGAAGAGCTAGAATATAACATATAAAGATTCGAGTGTGGTATTGTTTGTTGTCGATGGTGTGACGACAGCGTGCATAATTCGGCAATCTCGGTTGTTACGCCCTCGCTACTGCAGCAGTAAACAAAGCACAGTAAATAACAGTCGCACAATGTGGTTGTACAGACTCACGCATTCATCATTCTCAATATTATCTCATTTATATTTTACATTTCACTTCATAGTACATCGTGTTACTCGCAGTAAGTCATAGGTCGAGTTCTGGCCTTCTAAACGACCCATTCCAGCAAACACTCATTCCATCGTCTTTCATTCGTAGTATCCTTTTTAAGTACAATAATATCTACGAGATCATAGAGGTATGTGTATATATATATATATATATATATAGATATATATATGCAAGTAAGTACAAAATATGGCAGTGTGGTAAGTTTGGCGTCGCGTCCGACGAGGCTCGGTATTCGCTCATAGTCACCGAAAAAATGTCATATCTATTCTTTTATATAAAACGTATCTTCTGAACGCTAATTGATTTCCATAAGAAAATTCTTCAGATTTAACGAACGAATTTGCTTTGAGATCGAATGGATACAAAATGTAGGTGCCCTGCTTATTGAAATGCTTCCTAAATCTAACTCGGTTAGGTGTTTATATGGGGTGAATAACGGAAGCGTCCTCATCTTGCACTCACAGATATAAACACGTTTTCACTGGTAGAAATGTTAGTCGTACAAACAGGCTCATTAGAGTTAGGTACATCTTAGTAGTCATAGATCCAAGAGAATGACAGCTGACTCGAATGAGACATTGATCGACATCTTCTAAGACTATTCTATTAGTTTGGCACAAATCTATCAGTGTAAAAGCTAGTTACCTTGCGATGTATTTATAATACATTTAGTGCAACGCACTTATAGAACACAAAGGAAATAGCTAGCTAAATATAACAATAAGGTTTTGTGAGTCGTCGGACGAGAGCCTGGTAATACATCAGCTCCGCCTAATTTGGTCAACCAACTGCCAGGAACGTTTCGTCCAATAGATCGCCGTTGGATTAAAGAATACCACCAAGCCAGACACGAGATCCATGCATGCTTACGTATTCACTTTCATGTTCCGTTTGCTGACGCCGTACGAACATCAAAACAGATGCTTGTCATTGAGGAAACCGACTTAACACAGGCCCTGATCAGTAATTTAGGCAAGAAAATTTCGAAATGCACGATTGTATCTGGCTAGATGGCTGTTAGCCAACAGGAACCCGCTAATGTCATACCCTCCGCCACAACGCACCGCGTTGCTCTCATCATAGTCTAATGACCCAATAGACGACAGGGTCACTTCAAGAATCAGAGCAGTTGCCGTTTTTGGAGTTCCTATGTCGTTTTCTAAGTAAGTCCCGTCGTTCATGGCGGGAAATCTCATATTGTGCGCGTGGGGGACGGCGGGACGGGGGGTACAATAAAAAGCTTTAGAACTGCGCGACAGGCCGTCCAATAAAAGGAGTTTTCGCTACATCACGGATATTTTTGTTGAAAGCGACCAATTTTCTTTCACTTGTATATTCAAAGAGGTCATATACAACAAAGTATCATCATGTTTCATGCTTTTCTCAGGTGCAATCTTTGTGGCCAATAATACAAAACGTGAAGTAACACATACATGAGGTTATTTAAACCTATGTTGTTTATCTGCTCCTTACGCGGCGTTCGTATTATTCAGCGAACAAGCTCACTCTGATCTCTAAAGCACCACTGGAACAGCAACCTCAGCCCTTCAAAACTGAAAGAAAAGGTCGTATCTCTCCTCTGCATGAAATAACCACAAAAATGAATTGAGCTCATTTTTGTTTCGAGAAGATATTTCCACTACAACTGATTTTGACAGAGTTTGTTGTCAATTAGGTTGTATCTAGTCGGATACATTACAGGACATACAAATGGCTCCTGATACCCTACACAGTGCTTCTGGACAAAGGGAACAATAGAACCCTAGAGAAATTATGCGACCGTTTTCATTGGTTTACCAAATTCATTGCGAGTACGTAGCATTTCTAATTGTATGCTATCAGGCTTCTATTGTGTCTTGAAGTTGATCGTGCGATATCTCGTAATTTCTTTTGCCACTGTGGTCATTGTATTAGGTACGATATCATGAAATAGTTTTCCTTGTTCGGCTTGTACTGCATGAAAATTTGAGCAAAATTATCTATTTTTTAACACCTGAATTCTCTGGTCTAATATATATATATATCACTTGGGCGGATATCTAGAAACATTGTGTACGCATATATGAAGGTTGTATATATATTATTCTGCAAATGATGCGATTTTCGAACCAGTTTTACCAGACTGCTTCGTACGCGGCATTCGTGTCTCGATTCAGCCATTTTTTTTTATTCCTTCAATGATTATTGCAGGCAGGATACCGCTGTGGGAAAGCAGGGAAGTATTCCATCGACAGGCTGTTAGAAGGACTGCTATGTTTTCGTGTCGGGGCATCATAAAAACGTATGCCCATTGTCCTTTCAAAAAAAAAAGTGCATAACGTCACATAATAACTTCCGTAGCCAGTCAGATCCTGTAGCCGTGTGCCTTTCTGTCACACTACCTAATCAATTAAAATAATCTATTTGGTCTCGTTACCGTTCATTTAAAGTTCACGAATAGATACGCTTGAGGCATGCTTATCGTCACTGCGTACGTTAATGCTTAAGATCATAAGTATCCTTTGGATAATATAACCAGAGGGGGGACATATGCTCAGCATAGACGCATACCGTACAGTCAAGGGGACAGCTTAACCTACCGACAATTGGAGTATTGTTTTTACTAGGTTAAATTAGGCCCGATCTTTTTCTCCTCCTTTCGTAGAAAAATAAGTGCAGATTAAAACTTCGGGGAGACTGGAGGGAGATGTTAGGAGTCGTTTTTAACAAAACTATGCATTTATTATAATATCGATTCCGTCTGCGTGTATGTATAAGTGAACGATTGTTAAATATATAGATGAATGTTTGATATATATGTATATATCAATAGAAAAATCCCTCGTTTGAATTAGCTCTTTTGCCCGCAGTTGCTACTAATACCGGGGTCTATTCAACTTCCTGTTTAGAATCTATCCCTTTTGCTGCTCTTACTTGTTTCAAGAAGACGCAACAATAATTAATTATATGCATGGTAGTTGCTACACATGTCATCGTTGAGACACTTTACGCATACCTATCTTCATAAAGCCCGTCACTATTTTATCATCCTCGGGACTTTATACTTAAACTCTACTGCTAGCTAAGCTTATGTTGTTCGTATACTTACTTGTGATGCTTGTTAGGAAACGATCTTCGTAAGATTTTTGTCTTATAATAACTTGAATAATAAGATAAATCTGACGCTTCATATTGATCACCATCAGCATGGGCCATTGCCATCAGCTGTTTTCAGGCAAGGGCCCACGAGCATACTCGCCTATTACGACCTTCGACTTTTAAATAAGCCGAAATACAAATATCGTGTAATCCGTATGGTAGCATTAAATGTCTACTGAGTAGGCGTTAACAGACATCGACACTTCACGATCGTACCAGCTAACCAATTCGTAAATTAACTTCGTATATAAATATTAAACGTATCATACCGTACACTGAATGAACTTAGGTATACAATGACGTCAGCGACGAATTGCAGTTTATCACGCCAACCGATGTTACGGGGCAACTCGTTATTGAATTCCCTATTGATCTGTCTTCTAAGAACCTATATATGGGAATTACCGACCATCAGCCGATCCGAGTGCACTAGCAGCCCGTTACAAATGTGTACTCGATATTGAAGGTTCACGTCGCAAAGATCAGAAGATTTGAAGACTACTGATCTGTTACGGGGGACAAGATAAATGCCCCCTCGCAAACAAAAGAACAAATTTGTATACGTAGATCCTAGTCAGCATGAAGTCTATAGAATACCGAACACTTGGTGATTTTACACTTCGGAGCTTTCATAGCCGATCGAATCTTGGTTCTGGATTGTGGACCGAATGTTTGCAGGAGGCGGCGGGAGTCCGGCTAAGCTGCCAAGATTGCCCAGAATGGGGTCGATCCTTTCAAGGTCGTCATGCGGCGTACCAGGTGTGTCAGCCGGGGAGCGATCGATGGACTTCAGCTCGGGTTGACCCTCAAGTTCCATTCGGGATAGCGGGCCCTGGTTGACAACAGCCGGTGGGGGCGGATCGCCACCGAGTTTACTTAATCCACTTAACGGTGGCAAAGCGTTAGGGCTGGCTGGTGATGCCGGCGACGCAGGTGAAAGGGGACTCATTGGCCCTACAGGGCTCATGCTGGGCAATGTTGACTTAGGAATAGGCGGTCCTGCTGGTGCGGGCGAAGGTGTGCGAGGTGCGGAAGTTGGCGTCGCTTGAGCTGGGGCTGTGTTCTTTATTGGAGCCATCGTAGGTGGCAGTTGTACAGGTGGCACCCGCTGGCTCAGCGGAGGCAGGCTAGCCACGGGTTGTGACATAGACCTGCCCATCTGGGCCACTTGCGGGGCCTTCGACATCTGCGGAATAGTCGATTTCGTCGTAAGCGGTTGAGTCTGGAAGGTCGGTTGAATTTGGGTGGTGATCGGCATTTTCGGTTGGGACTGTGTCAAAATTGGTTGGATCGGCTGACACGGCTGCTGTGGGCTCTTCAAAATCAAAGTAGGTGGACTCTGACTCGATGGTTTGATTCCTATCAATCCTGCATTAACTGCTTCTGTAGTGTTTCCTGAATGCATTTTGATCGTCGATTGGCCAGACACCGGCGACTGGATAGCATCTCTGCAAACATTTAGAAATAATGTTAGACATTAGCGAACGGTATCGACGAATTGGAACATAACAATTTTCTAGTCCGATAGCGGATAATGAACACTCACACGCGGGTGCAGTGTAGGTTTTTTGGTGGATTTAGTGGGGGTCATGCCCTGTGGTCCTACACAAATGGGTCGCTAAGGGCAGGGTCCCCAGTGACTACGCATCTATGGATCAGAGAGAAGGCGAAGCAAGCACACGCAAGGCTGAGGCTACAACAGAATGCTTACCTGGCGGCCTACTCCTCTAGGAAGCGGTCGTCCCCCACCGGGGAACTGACCCGGCCAGCGAAACCAACCTTCAAACCGGAGCCGGACGTGCCGCCCTCTTTCGGGCTTAGGTTTGGCCGTCTAGTGGTGGCCTAGCTCGTGCACTCCGGCTCGTAAAGCTCAACGCCGACGATAGGCGGTGCGAAAAAACGTGTCGTATTCATTGCTGGTCACCTTTCAAAACTCTTTTTCTCTCTCTCTTTCTCTCCGTATTGCCTGTCTCAGTTCCTACGAACCATCACTCTCTCCCCTTCGTAGAACTTATAGCTGTTTAAAGAAGCCTCACCTTCTCTCTGATTTGATTGGGCCTCCCAGGCGCATTATCGATAAGATCACACCGATCGAAATGTAGAGGCACTTGAACCTGTCTTCTATAGTGATATGGTAACATCAACCCATAGATAAATAAAAAGCAATTGCAATAGCAACGGTGTAGAATTGAGTAACAGTAGCTGTGGCTGAGTGCTACTGAGTGATTGATAGCAATGCTTATTGGTGCATAGGGATTGGGTTATTGCTTGGAAACAAATGAAGGGGTGCTGAACCGGAGAAGCGAACCACACTCGTCAGAGAAAAACGTGGAGGATCGAAGGTAAGCACCGAAAAAAATGCACATTGACGCAAAAAACATATTCATATAATTGATTGTAGTAGTCTCCAATGAAAGATACGATATCAGGATAAAACGCAAAAGAGGCAGATTGTACAAGAATCACGCGTTCTTGTTCTCTATACGGAAGAAATACGTCTATGTCACGCCAATGGTAATGTCGGTATGTCCTTTCGCAGAGATCACAATATCGAGCTCATGATTGAAAGCCTAACAAGCATTCTTGCGGTGAACTACTTTATTTCAATTTGACTCTTCTTTAAGTTTTGAGCTTTATGAGTGCATTTCAGTCATAGTATTTTCAAGCGTCGTAGGGGAAAAAGCCTGCAAATTATATATATATATATATATATATAACCAAGCGTGATTTGTGTGTGTGTGTGTGTGTGTGTGTGTGTTGAAAAGGCGTTCATTGCCAGGCGAAAGGGCAAACCGTATCTGCTGTGATTATGTGTTGTTGATGTTATTGTTTATTTAGTAACAGTTGCGGTATGCACACTGCATTCTGCATCATCACCATCACGATCATTATCATCAGTTTCACGCACATCACAACTGAGGTCGTGATATTTTACAAGATGGCCTTCGACATGTTGTAGCGTTGAGACTTGCTTTCTTTCGCTGGCGTTGTTCTCGGTGGCGGCCCAAGAGGTTGGTCATTGTGGTGAAACGAGCTTGAAACCTTCGTTGGCAGATGTGTGGTTGATAGTGGTGATAAACAACTAGGGAAGTTCATGTTGTAGAACCACCTCAAAGTTTGTCTATGTGTGTGTGCGTGTCTTGATAAATGAGGTCACTCGTGACTTCTGGTCGCACACACACGCACAGGCACCCTGACGCACCGAGACTGTGACTGATCTGTTTCCATTCCGTTGCTATTCTTCAGACTGTTCGGACTCATTCTCCTCATTGCTCTGATTCGATGAATTTTTCGCGATGATTTTTCGCCAGCGTATTTCAACATGTCTCACGCCCCCTCAGTCTCGCTCATGCCTTTACTGATATAATTGGTACGGAGCCGTGCTGCTGCTCCGTGCAACGGGGCAAAGCAACAACAATATACCACAGACATTACGTTAGGGCACTCCTGAACTCGGCCTTTGAGTTTTAGTTTTTGTTACTTTTATTTGTTCCTACCTATTTATAAGTCCACTCTCGTTGTTCCATTTAAGTCTAACTCCCTGGGGTAACTTTCCACTGTTCTTATCTTTATCGTAGACACTAAGGATATCAGTCACACACATCTATCTCATTACTTGCCTTAGACCGCTTCACAATCTATCAATCTTTGTCCCTTTTTTCCACTCGCTCATCATTGTCATTCCTCTGCGAACGATAAGTGTTTGTGATTGACGACACGAAAACAGGCGTGATTTTGCATTGATCGATTTTTACGAGAAAGCTGACAGTAAATACGCTTCATCAAGTAGACAATGTTGTGTAACAATGTACCCTAAGCAAAGGGATTTCAGGCAACATTCCCTCCGATGGACGCCACTACGATGAGGTTTGCGGGTACGAAAAAAAGAATTAACTATACCTACCAACCAGACACGCTTCACTCGTATACGACAGTCACTTAGATAGGTACTTTTACCGGTAAATGTTAGGCTTTACATAAACGTACGTATTCGTAAGAGAACTAGGCAGGGAGATACAGGCTAGTGTGACGTGGCTATGGACGGCTTAGTCGATAGCTGCTGTTTGTTTTTGAATCAAAAGTAACAATCTTCTTGACCGATCTGATGTTGATGTTGGCCGTGCTGCGCGAAGGCTATTGTGCCATTGTATCTATGACTTTGTAGCTAACCTGGAATCCGTGTCGGTGAAAGGCTCAACATCAGCGATCGGCGGGAGTTCGCTCCTCCGAAAGCCACCGTCATCTCCGTCGAGGTACTCCTCGTCAATCTTCATCTCTCGCGGTAAACAACCTGAACAACGTTTACATGACGGTTAATACACCCACACAAAAACGGGCATTCGTACATAATAGACTAACAAAATAGGATATCTTCGAATCTAGTAAATGGGGTATGTCAAAGTGTACGGAACATTTAATAACACCAATACGCCTTAATGAATCGATAATCAATTATTATCCATGAAAGGTGATTAAAAGTATCATTTGCGATGGATTCTATGCATACTATCGTCAATCCGCGTTTGGAGGAAGGACTGGGCAACTATATTGTTAAGTGTTAACAGTAAACGGAACCGTTAGGCACTGATGACAAATTATTTTGGTTAGGCCATATCGGAATGCTTTTTTGATGGGCTTTCTATTTAGCACAATCCTCCGTCTGGCAACTTTGCTGGCTCTATTTCAGTTTAGACCAAACGCCAGTCTAAAAATATCCTGATCGCTGCACCCACCTCCCTTCTTCAACGTAGCGTCATCTGCAGCATTTGCAATACCCACACCCATGCGGGTAGCATCGTCCATCTGCGAATTGCCTATTGGAGCTTCATGTGCGGTCAGCTGCTGGGTTTCGACCTCTTCCGCCTTGTCTTTTTTGCCCTTGCTTCTACTTTTTTTGGCTTCGCGAGCGGTCTGTCGCTCGACGATCTCTTCAGGCGTTCGTTGTTTTTTAGGCTTCTTACAATAAACCTCGCAGATGGTGATGAAGAGTGCTATGATTAAGCCTAAGCCTAACACTATAAACCAGCCTAGTACACGCCGAACTTCCAGTGGTTTCATTATGTCCAGTGGTTTCTCACCACCCTGTAGCAACAGCAACAATAACAACAACCGTTTTATTTAAACGATCGCGGAACAATGACAATAAAGGTAAAAGGTCTGCTGCCGATATAATGCAGCTTAATTTGACAAAGATTAATCTGACCTACACTGATCATTCGCTATCCGGCGCAGTACATTATTGGCCTGGTAAATTTCTGCTATTGATCTATAAATTTCTATTTTGAATTCAAAATAGAAATTTGTAGAAATAGAAAAAGACAATCTTGCATTAGGTTCTTACGTAGGCTAGGCTGGGAGCGATAACAAGATTGTCAGCGGGACAATCGAGCGCGTGGGCTCCAAACCATCGATCTTCAAGCTCTGCTAGAAAGCCTTCATCTCTCAATGAAGAGATGATATCATCGATCTTCTTGCTCAAAGCGAAATGTTTTGACATCGCTACAGCGTACTGACCCCGCCTCAAATCCGTTCCTACCTGCAATTAAAAAAATAAGGAAATCCGCAATCGATACATGTGTAAGCATATATCAGCGTTATCTGACATGGATTTTAATTTAAAATAACAGCCTAACATAAGGTTTTATGTAATGTCGAAGAAAATTGTCACATTATGGTTGGACACTCGCAGGCCTCAAGCTTGATTTCCTTAAGATTAAACTTATTGGCTTGCTGCCTAAATTGAGTTTGTCGGTTTTACCAGCTCAACGCATTGTTATATTTGATCAGCGCGAATATGAATTGACTTTCTGTGTCTTATGGAAATTACCCCATAGGCCTTGACTCCTACGCAATGAACTACATAAACAGTTTTAAAGATAACTGGATTAACATTTTAGTGTCAAACAAATTCTAACAATGTAACAAATTGTACGATCATACATTTAATTAAACGAGAACCAATCGGCAACGATGACCTTAGACAAGGATTTTTATCAGGACAAGATAAATGTACAACAGTACGGACAGCGCTAGCTACATAAACATTTACTTTTATGCAGTAGTAGAGCTACACGTAGCTTGACATCGAATAATAGACTGTTTATGTAGATGTACCCCTAGACACTTCTTACATTACCTGGATGGTATCGCATGGGGTGTGCGCTGACGTGTAACGAATGAAGTTACTATCCGCAAATACGATGAACTTCGAGTTGTTGCGAACCCGATCTATGGCCTATTACAAATTGAAAAACAGCGCTAACATAATTGTTGTGGCCTTTTGGTGGCCTGTAGGGTAGATAATTAAATTTCTAGATCGATTTAAGTGATAAATCGTATGTTATTACAGTCTCAAGTGGTGTTGCCTTCGAGTGTTGATATGTAACTATATCGGTAAGCTAAAGATGGACAACGGAGAAATAGGAACACCGAACCTAACAAACCAGGTGTTTCCAAGATTCAATTCTAAATTTGATCAATCAATATGCTAATTTAATAATATTATTCTGTTTGATGTCTATTAAAAAACAATGATAAAATATACGTTAAAAAAATTGTTTTTTTTTTTTAATACATAAACTTACCACTATATCTGTCATTTTGCTTTCAATTAGATCTCTAAAATGCCATTATTTGTAAATTTTTTTTTATTGGTTAACCGCAGTTTCGACAAAAGTCAAATTTTATGTAGACGCTGATGCGTTGTTCGTCAAGGGTATTTTGTTACCTTGGGGTAGCTCTCAATGACGCTGTCGTTGAAGGAGAGTATCCGCCTGTACATCGCCTTGTACTCACTGTCATCTGTATTCTACAGCAGGAGAACAGAAAGAACGATAACGATGACCAAAACATGGCGTGACAACTTAATGTTAGGCTGATTATTTATATGCCTCAATGCGTCAAATAAAGCGTGAATTCGATTATGCAAGCGACTTCACTTATCTCATTCCCTTCTGACCAGCTGTCGCTCTAATAAGCGGTGGAAGCTCATTCAGTATCGAACATGTACATTTATGTTATTGACATTATTTTAGTAGATTAAACGTTGTAGGCATAGTGTCATACCTGGAAAAAGTCTTCAGTAGCTGAGCCTCTAATGAGACCGTATTCGATGCGATCCTGATAGAGCAATTCCTTTAGGCAACGAGGCAGCTTTTCTCCGGTCGGGGCAAATGGGTCGTTGATCCATAACTGTGCCGTATAGATGGAAAGCACGCAGAGAATAAAAAACCACCACGAACACGCGATTACACGCGAACCTAACGATCTGTTGACGGTTAAAAGCAAGGAACGAACAGACGGGTTAGGTTAGAGTGTCTATAGCAACACAGCTGAGAGATTGTAAGTAAAAAGCACAAACCTTAAAGGTAAAAATCAAGAACGCAGGAGATTCTTCAACCTGTTTTTACCAACTTTATCACTGTCCATCGCTAAAATCGCCCTAGTTTATCCCTGCAGATAAATTAGATGCACTAAACATAAAAGGATCTAATAATGTTCATCTATGATCCTCAACAAATCCTATTTAACATGTAATAAAAAGACAAGCTATTATAGATCATGCCTGTTCCATGGCATGGTTCTAGGCTTCATTAGTACTCACTTTGGACGGCAGTTGTTGCACTCTTCCGACATGAACATGCCAAAAGCGTACCAAAGCGAATTGTAAAAATGACGACACGGCGTTGGCGGGTCGACAGGTGGTGTGGCGACGGCCAAGTTTATCAGATTGATCAATAGTAACACTATAGCCACTGTTCCGTAGGCGCCAAGAAACAGCAGCCAGATCTTCCAATCGAGTGGCCGAAGAAACGTGAACGGGGTCCGAATGTTGAGTAGGTCATCAGCGTCGTTACGGGCAACAGCACCAATAGCTGTAGCCATGAACGGTTGGCTGAAGTGCACCACCTTACTTCGTTCCGAAGTAATCATTAGTGGCGCAATGGCCATGTGGGCGTCTTTGCGTAAAATTTCACCAATGAATCCGTTCCAACCAGACGCCTGCTGACTATCTTTGTAACCAAATTTTCCATCCTTAACGAAGTGAATATTAAACTGAGGCCGTCCGGGTATGTCTTTCATGAGGCGTACAATGAGGTCCTTGATATAGCCGTCAACGTTGTCGATGTGTGGATTGGTCTCATTGGTGTTTTTGAAGAACAAAAACGGCCTTTCCTGTTCCATTCGAATACAACCGATGTCCATGAAGTGTTATTGTCATTATTAGAACTAAGTTAAATTAGCTTTATTTAATTAAACGGAGGCCAGGACAGAGTAAGTAGTACATATACACCTTTCGAGTAACTTGTATAAAAAAAAAATCTCTTCGTTTTGCCAATGGGAACTGCGCATAGTTCACGCAAAGCTATCACCTAGTCTTTGTCCCAATACATGCCATAAAGCAAAACGGTTCGTTCCTAAACTTCCTTGGCTCTAAAGGTGCTTAGAGAGACTTCATTAGACCCGAATAGAGGACAACACATTTAGATTTTGGTCCATAGTATTGCTCAGACGGGGTCAAATTTAGGTGGCTTTTTTCAATGATATTCTATTTATAAGCCACGCGCCAAGCACATATCAGATCTTCGATGAGTTGCGCTAAATGAGGCTGCCACGCCTACCTTTTTATATTATAATTAAACAGGGTGGTAAACACATTTCTGTATTCCATACATTTACTATAGTATAGCATCAGCTTACATTTGGACTATCCGAGAATTTCAAAATGGTTTTGCTTACGGGAGTCTATGCCTCTAATATCGACAATATTAGAAATGGTATCACTCTCACTTAGATCGACTGAATATTAACTAACCCTATACCTTTGCGCGCCAAATATCTTTTTATATTATTCATTATAAAATCCATCGACGTTCATTGGGGTCAGTTTAGGTTAAGTTTGTTCTTCTATTCGTTTCGACTCCGCCTGATATTTACAATAAGAAAATCACGTAAAAAAGAGTCGCTATGTTATCGCATGGTAGAGACCCTGAGCGAGGTTTTTAACTTAAGTGAGATTTTATGGGGCTACCAACTCAAAGAGATTTGCAATGATAATGACGAAAAACTCCCTTCGCCTCAGCCTTTTAAGCGTCAACCCTGTGATGAAAAGAGAAAGTAGGAACGAGACGGGTGTAGAAGGTAACATTAGTGCGTAGCTGAATGAAGCAAAAGTTGTCCTATGGTAAACTACCGACAGACTCGTTAAATAACAAAGTGCACGCCACTGTGTACTTTTTGGCTGTAACAATGGTAGATTTTGGAAAATGATCAGGCGGCATAATCGACGAATCAATGAGTTTCTTCTTCATTCTGAGCTTGAACTTTAGACCATACTGTCAAATGGCTAGCGTTGGAGACACAAAAGATCAGATACTACATAGCTAAACATGTACGCCGGTATATTTAAGGCACAGTTAGATTCCCACAACAACAACAACAACAACAACAACAACAACAACAACAACAACAACAACAACAACAACAACAACAACAACAACAACAACAACAACAACAACAACAACAACAACAACAACAAGCGTGCTGCTTATGACATTAGAAACAAAAGAAGTAAACGGTAACAGCGACAACGGATCTATTAGTTGTACTTAAATGTATTAAAGCACAATCTAATTTCACGTGGTGGTTACACTGTACGTTACAAGCGTTCTCCTAAGTATCGTGGATTTGTATTTGTCTCACAATTATGGTAGAGATGATGATACTTTTGGAGAGTTCCTGTTTAATCCGAGCTCTCTTCGAATTCCGTTCATGTTCATTCGAAAACGCCAGACCCTCCTGTTCATTCCATTTGCCCACCTAAAGAATAATCAAGCACCAAAAAACATTGGTGAAACTATTTTCGAATCGATTGTCGTACGCAGTTCTCTTAAACGTATTATTACCGTTCGTTGCTTAGTGTTCGATAGATCGTAGGCAAAACAAACCAAAGAACTAGTAATATGCCCAACTGTTTATTTTCAAAGCTCTGTGACATAGTAGTTAAGACAGTGTCAACAGTAATGATCTGCCTTCACTCACCCTCTCCATGTCAGCGTCTGAAGTCAGTTCTAAGACATCAAGGGTATATCCGGTGCGTCGGCCATGGTCGTTAAAACGTACTTGTCCTGTACTTCCTTTGAAATGTATCTGGAATAGAAAAACCAGTCAATTTTCATATCTTGCCGGAGGCGTAACAATTCCTAAAGGGCATTAAGGCTAATATCTATGAAATGTTTTGATTCAGTTAATTTAACAACGTTTTAGCAAATAAATAAAAGTCTCTAGCATCGCGACAATTTAGTAGAAACATGTATCCTTAATAAACGTTAAAAAATCTATATACCATTTAGATATATTTATGTCGTATTGTAGCTCATGAGGCTGTGATGCAATAATGCCAGCACAATTCCGAATATCGAACTAAGAAGACATACTTCGGCCTGTTCCTAGTAGCAGGCTCGTATATAGAGATGTTTATAGTAAGGAAAAATAATATCAGTACCTAAGGAGCTATTTGACGCTTTATTATTTGCCGTAATATATATATATATATTATTTTACAACTATATGGCGAATAGTAAAACGCATGATGTATACAACATAGGTAGCAGTTTACATAAACATCAATGTTATAGATCGGAATATACGACGATGTCGCGTGGTGAGCTTTAGCGCCATACAACGAACAAATGCGTCTACTACTCTTAGTAAACTTGCTCCTAATCGTACATGTTGTTATTATCTCTTATTTAAACACGGGTGCACACATAAATCGCGGCGTTATGGCTATAGAATTCTGTACAGATGGATGTATAGCAGTATTGAATGTAGAGGGATGGCCACGGGCCTGTGTGCGACCCCCTAAATCGTTGACGAGACAAATAAATGTTAACGGTACATTGACGGAAATAGATCAATGGCAATTTCGGAGCCAGAGCGGATTCTGCTGTAACTGCAGAGGTTTGCTCACCTCCGGCAGTCTATGAGCGTAAAAAACAAGCCCTAGCCAAATAATAATGTAATTGTCATCCGGACTACGATGACATAGCTATAACTATTTGCGACAAACCAGCCGCTGTGAACCGTAAAATGAAAGCCACAATAAAGTCTTTAGCAAAGTGAACTTTCATATATTTAATAGCTTAGAGATACAAAGCATTCCTATCACAAACCGAACGATCGTGAAAGATAAATGTCAAAATTGGTATCAATTGATACCCATGTTCTTTCTCAATGTTGATACCTAGAAGCTACCCAGGCCACAAGGCTTGATACGCACTCTTTGAATTGTTAGAACACGAGCTCTCAAAGATGACCTATTTTAGGTGATACATTAGTGATAGGTTACGGTTTAAAGGTGAATAGGCACAACCTACCTTTCGCATTACATCAGCGATAGTTTGTCCCTGGGGATATTCTTCCAGCGGAGATCGGTAGCAGGTCACCGCCGCTGTTATCTGGGACAGTTCCTTAAATATATCCTCAGCCGCTAGTGGTTGCTTACCGCTCAATGCCACCATTGTGTCGGAGAGAAGTTGCCCGGCATCCATCAGGAGAGCTTCTTCTTCCTGGATCGTATTCATGCAACGATTCGTTAGCTTCGTGTACGTTTTTTGCATACGAATCACGCGAAAAATGTCCGCAGACAGACAGCGCGCACCCGTCAAACGGAAACTATTCTTCCAAAGCTTTTGCGTTAGTGCAACGAATGCTCGATGTGTGCCGTCGGAAAATTAGCAGACAACTTTTTTTTTTTGTTAAGTTTACTATTGGACAATGACAGGTGATGGTGCAACAATTTAGACTTTGCGTCGAATGCAACAAATTGTCCAAAAATCATGATAAGATAAATGGAAATAAAGTGCCAGTCGGTTAGGTCCGTCTTGTAGGACGCGGTCTTCACTTGACCTGAGCTTCAGCACGAATTGATTCACACCTGAATGGAATACTTGCTTCCAGCAAATAGTAACTTGTAGTTATCAATGTAGATAGGGTTATTTAAGTTCATGCTTTGCCACTGATACGATTCGGGGCAACATTTACGTGTGAACCGTCGTGCCAATACGAAGGAGGAAGCCAATATCCAGAAGGACGATAGCTTTTCAATCCTGAACAATACGGATACACATAAAAATACTTCGAGAATGCTCAAAGCGTTCTGCCTGGTGAGGTATTATAGCAGTTTAAACGTACAGCGGTAAAGCAAGTTGCCATTCAGGGTAAAAGCGGCGAGTTTAAGCGACTTAAATATAAATAGCAGATTAATGTAAACAGCTTAATAAATAAGCGTGTATCCTGTAGTAGAGATGATTGGCTTTTACCTAATTAAAATACCTAGCATTCAGTCACATCAGTTGCATCATCACAAAAAAATCAGCTACTATGTGCGTATTTGGGTGACGTGTATGCACTGCAATAGCTTACTCTCGGCCAGTCATCTGTGAGAGTGATCGGAGTTTACTAAAGGACATATGAAGCCAGATGAAGTATATGTCGATTGTTCCGGAACGCATAGCAGTCGCGTTCCCCATTCGGCGTACGAATGACGGAAAGCCGTCTGTGTGGTCTATGTATTTTTAATGGTGTAGCAGTGGCAATATCGAGCGGGTGTGTAGGGCCTTTTCAGAAGCTGACGAGCAAGTACACGTGAAGTCACTGCTTTCTATAGTCTAAACAGAAGAAGGAAAAGTATGTAGTCGTACAGACGAGAGTGGGCGCAAGTTAGACAGACAGACAAACAAGCGGACGCAGAGCTACAGCTTATCATAGGCGAGTTAATAAGCCAATGAAACTCAGAACACAGTCTATATTGGATATGTACACAAATATACGCTGAAGCCATGTGTGATGAGGTGGTACGGTGCACGGCGAGATCTTTTTTTCGACCCACTAAGCGATACCGCTCGCAACAACCATCATCGCCTGTGCCCCTGGACATTTTCGACCCTTTTCGCACTATCTCTTACCTCCAACACGTCTGCTGGCTCTGATAACTCAACGAACAGGTGTTCAGCATCGCTGCGCTGCAGCAACTGTTCCTGTGAGAAGGAAACAGGGGAGGCTTCCGCTGTTGTGGTCGGATCCTTCGAGTCGCCTGAGTATGTGATCCGCTAGAACGATCCATTTAACGACTCAATGCAGCCAATGTCATCAATATACCACGGCTCAGCTGTGAGTAAGATTTGAATTTTTTCGATAATACGGAAAGCGAGAGGATATAAACGGAAGAAGCAGGCGAAAGAAACGGGAGCTCTCATCTAATCGCCCCACCTACGCTTTAATCGTGATAGCGCACTTAGACACGGCACATCACGACTAACAATCTTTCTGCATGATCCCTACGCGATTTACGTGTCCATATAAACTAATATGTGCAGAAATTCCTATCGGTACATTTCTCTTACTAAACAAGGTGCGTGCATATTGCCAGTGTACACACATTTCCAGTTGTTTTTCCTAATCACTTCTTTAAGATTTCAACATCGGCGGTACAGTCTGTAGCAACGGTTTTCCGGTGTAGACAGTCCTCACTTATCTTCAACCTTATGCCATTTACCTACTTCTGATACTTTTCCTTACACTAGTCCGGTTCTTAAGAACCATTTCAGTCTCAAGCTAGTCTTTCGCTGTATCCTCAAGCGAAATCTGAGTTTTACGATTACCATACGTTCGGCAGTCTGTCATTCGTGTACTGAAGGGTAGCACAAGTACTAAGACGAGTATTAATAGTTTCTTGTTTGAATGAGAAAACGTTTGATGCTTTTTTTTGTGTGTACCGAGAAATAAGTGAGGAATCGTAAAAAGGATCGAAGTGCAGCTACTTCTTGCAGGTTCCATTGTTACTGTTCATCATTGTCGTTGTGTTATCGTCGTCGTGAACGTACAGAATGTGCCGTATTACTCACGTGAATGTGTTCATCTTCAGAGTTTTTCGGTGTTGATACACCAGCACGCATTCCCTTCATTGTCTTGAACTCGGTTTCCTCGACAATTTGAAACGTTGCTACCGTCGACTGATCGAACGCACGAACTTCCGACCAGAAATGGCGGACCGTCTAGAACAGAACGAGATGAACATGTCACGTCTATTTGTAATTCATCGACTATAAAAGTGGCGCAGAAAAGCAAGATAGTCAACGACTGCTGGCAGCTGACGACGTTCGCTTTGCCTTTAATACGACTGAAGTGTGATTCAGAGAATCTTCAAAGTAAACAATTGCTTCTGAACCGTTAGCACTGATTAATGGAGGGATGCGAGTGAAGAATCTACGATAAGGTTTCATGACCAAGTTGGCTAGACTACCAAACGAAGGAAATGTTGGGAGCGGTTCCTTGTGGAACAAAGGGATCGCATAGGAATAGGTTCGGTTCACTTCAAAGGACCTGGGTGACAGGCCGTTGGAGGCGTGTCGGAACATATGGTGTTGTTTGGATGAGAACGTCATCCAGCACGGTCGATAGGCTTCTGAGGACGGCGATCCAGGCTGTGATCTTATCGGTACATTTTAGTGTTACTATAAAGCAGGTCCCTTCGAAATAGGCCGACAGTCATTCAAGACCACTTCAGTAACGTATTCAATATATAAATGATACTTTTCATACATATACACATTACCAGTTCGTTAATAAATTCGCCAGTTTTCTTTGAGTACACCAAAAAAGGGGTGCGAAAGGAAACAAAATCCTTGTGTAGATCTGAAGCCATTTATTGAATGTTTATATTATGAAAAGTAACCCATATCCTGTTCACCCGTTAATTCAGTTAACAAAATATATGATCAGATAAAATTCTTGCGCTCTACACATCCCAGCTCAGCTATTTGAATACATATATGATAATCTATATACGTACGAATCTCGGTACGACGAAATGGTAGTACGCCCGCCTTTTGCTGTATGAATGTTGTATGATGCGTTTCGCCATCTTGACATCGATCGCCAAAATAATGTGTTTTTCTACGTCCCACGCTGCGTTCTCCTTCTCCTGCAAATACGTCATTGCGGATGTATTCGACGTCACCTGATGAATACCTTTTACCTGGACCTCATCCTCTTCGAGCAGGTGCGATAGGATTAATTCCAGCTCCTCAAGACCTGTGGGCGAAATATTTATACCATGTTATTGGTTGTCACGAACTGGTTGGGCTGAACGAATAAAAGCTGCTCCTAAAAAACTATTCTTATTTTTTTTTTTCTTTTTTACAAAGTATACATACGACAGATTGTATCCCACTTTGGAACAAGGTGTACCGTTCTTATAAACAAATGTAATAAGTAAAAAATTAGCGCTTATATCGACGTGATAATTCCCCGCTAGACAAAAGTTTTTGATCAGCTGACGTTCCCTCACGTAACAGTGAATAGCCCAGTCTGCTCAACGGTAACGTACTCGCCTGCGTTACGCTATGCTGAGTAATCTCTGGGTTCACTGACGATAGCGGGGACCTGGACGAACGTAAATGCCTATAGTAGCCTCGACTAACAAGCGCCAGCTAGTTGCGTTCTCTTTCTGTCGTTTAACGTTATTGAATTTGGCTTATCACATCCCAGCTGTGAGTTCTAAACACGATCATCGAATCAGTGCCCTTGTGCTAAATATAATAAAAGAGCTGCGCTGTAGTAGAGAAAACAGTCGTTGCAGAGACTATCCCTAAGCGGTAGTCCGAGCTTGTAATACATGGGACTGTCGAAGAGGTTTCGCGGAGTCTGTGCTGTAAGAAGCGCAGAAGAATTTAGACGTTGATGAGGTCAAAAAAAAGCCCAAGGGCTAAAGCTTTATTGGGTAAACTGGATATTACGGATGAAAACCCAAAAGATTTGTTTAATAGCTCGGATTCCGGCTGGAAAAATTAGCAAAAATCCATGATAACAATGACTAAACCTAGAACGGTTTAGTTCGTAGATAGATCTCCGGGACACTGTAAAATATCTCTTACGTTGCTGTAAAGAAATTATTCCAATTTGACCGGAGAAGAATCAGCTCATTTCAAAATGCTATTTTCATTCATGAATAGTCCCGTGTGACATCCTTGTGAAAACGAATGACCCCGTTCCACCCGTTCGTACCTCATAAGCTTAGACGTTCCTGCAGCGTATAAACTGATGAACACTTCAAATGAATAAAGTGTATAATCGCTAGTACTCATTCTCGGACGCTTCTGCGGAGTCTCAACCTAGGCCATCGTTGACTTACCCTCGGGCTTGTCGTAAATGAAGTAGATATCTTTCCACTGGTTCTTCCGAATGAGATCTGCTGTTGCCTTCGCCGTAGACGGAGCCATAACGATCGTGATGCTCTTCTCCGATTCACCGAGTTGTTTTGTGTTGAATGTCGTATCGACGAGATCGGGCGCTGTATTGATATAAGGTATGGCTAATCGGCTTGCAAGGCTTTGCAAGGTTGCGTGCACTATACCAGTGCAAGGCGACACAATACTCGACACTCCTTGCCCAACTTGGGCGCAGGCTAAAAAAGAACCCAGAAGAAATTTAGTTAGAAATGGTACTGATCTTTTCTCTTAAAATATTTACTCTTGTTTCGCTGGGAATCAACGTATGCGTATGCCTACAGGCAGATTTCGCATCGTGCTAATCCTCCCTCTTGAAATTCATTGGTGAAACTAAACGAGGATGCCGTCTGCAGTCTAAGGAAACGCCCCACTCAGCGTGAACTATTACTTAGCTATCGTTTGTCCTGTGACGCCAACGAGAGAAAAGTCCTTTTTTCGCACCACTTTACTACTAAAGTGGCTAAAGAGGTAAGTACACAACCTTTCTCATTGTTGCCATCACGATCTGAACTGAGCGATATGCTCTTTAAAGAAGAGCTCAAACGGTGCCGGTTATCTAATGATGTGATCCGAAAAATTTACTTGATGTCGATGGAATACACTAAACATGTACAAACTTTCGGACAAATATCGGTATATACTTACTTCAACCTGCAATTAATTAAGCCTATAGATTTATTATAGGTTTTTGTTTAAACATCTAGCAGAAACTACATTTTCCATTTTTATGCACTTATTCTAGATAAGACGTTCATAGATAGTGTCACTGGGAACGTCAACACATATGCGCCTCACGCTAAGGGCACAGTTGGTGGGTGGTGGCCCGTCGTTTATGGACCCGGGTTGACCTTGTGACATTTATGACAGTGATAGGATTCTTCTCAATTATTTTCGAACAACTCGACGCGGAGTACCTTCTCTTCATTATTTAGTCATTCGATGGCTAAAATCTCTTGAAGTTGTTCTTCGAGTAATTAGTGATCCTGGGTTTCATTTCATCATTGGGTCTTACCTTTCTCGCTTCGTTTGATTTTACGTTAAGAGCAACTGGCGTCCCAGTTGCCTTTGCCAACTGTTGGCGAATTGTTAGTCTCTAAAGACACTTAAGTTTTATCGCGCCCTATCGCGCTGATGTTACTTAAATTTTTAAGGTAAAACACGTAATAGAATTAGTTAACAGTAAAAAAATGATATTGTCAACGTTTAGAAGCTATGCAAAATTATTTTTAATATATATATATAGCTGTTGAATGTATATTATGTTAGTTTCTATTGTTATATTCTGTTCTCAAATGGTGAGTATAGGTCTTTATTAACGGCCATGCTGAAGCCATTTTGTCTAGCTACCAGAGCATTTTTTGGCTTCAGAACAATCGCAAATGTTAATTACGGCACGGAAGTTGTTACAAAAGATATACGTAAATACGCACCATATGGGAGCTATTTAGCCCCTCATATGTATAACCCGACAAAAAGGCTTCTGATCTGGCTTAAGGTTACATACGGTTAGTAGGAAGAAGCTCGAGCAACGCATTGTAAGGCTTGATCAGCACGACTAGTTTTTTGTGGCTCAAACATGAGACCTTGGCTCTCTTCTATGTTGTGAAGTGTTGTGTATAAATCAGGAAGTGGAATATTCTCAAATGCTTATGCACGCTTAAATGAAGTCTTCTCTGAAAAATCTACCATGTAATTGAAGTCTTGCAACTATGCGGTGCAAGTGTCATGTAATGCTTAACGGCTAAAGTACCGAACATAAGGCACGAAAGCCAGACGGCCGAAGTCGAACAGGCTGAACGGTTTGGCTGCCAAGTATGGAGACTCAAAAATCCTTTGTCGTAGTCCCAGTACGAAAAATGGGATACTTAAGACGAGGGCTGGCTGGCCTGGAAAAGGTCTCTGTTTTATCTGGTGTCTACCAGTAGCTCCATGAAGCAGCAATGTGAAGGAGCACAACTTACATACTCTACGTTCATCGTGCGCTACCGTGGGTTCGGCGATGGGCTTTGACACCTTAGCGGGTATGTAGGAAAACAGGAATGAGAACGGCAAGGCACCTCTTCTTTCTGCCTTTCAACACTTGCGGACGGACTCTTGCTGAATTATTCACGAGCGCCGCTGCAGAACAGAACGCCGATTGGTCGGTCAACAAATCCGGAGAAGTCCGTTCCGCTGCAAAGCCCTTTGAAATGAAGTAAACGATCGTAGTATCAGCAGCAATGGTGCGAGATAAGTAGGAAATGCAGGTGAGGGACAACTTAAAGAAATTCAGTTATTACGAAGAGGCTTTGAGTCGAGCGAGGAAGGAGAGATTTGCCTCTGATGCACCACAAGTATGGGCAGCTAGCGCGACCAGCCCCCCCTTCAACTAGCTTTGTGTAAGCATTCAGCGTGCCCCACAATCAGCAGTGCGTTGACTACCTCTCGTTTACGTGGCCGGATTAGTGCACTCACTGGTTTTGTTGCTGTTGTTTATTGTCGAATGTCGGTTTTTTTCCCAGTGACCCCACTCCGACAATTAGCATACCCATAGAAAAAGAGCGGCACTGCCACTGCTGCTGCCTGGAAAGTATTACAGGGAGAATAGGGGACGCCAGCTGCCGCGTAAGTACAATTGGAGACTGGTAAAGCCGCAGTGGGAACGGTTACACGGGGTGCTTTGGGTTGATCCAGGGAAGTTTAGCTTCGCCACCGCCGCCGCCGCCGAATTGCACTCTTCATGTGTGTCTACGACTCTTCTGGATTTTTGTGTGGAGTCGTTAGCGTAGACCACGGCGACAACGAAACAGTGACTCTGGAAGATAAGAGCGTAGAGCAGAGAGATCATTTGAATCGACTCCAATTCTTTCTTTCCTTCTTCCTGTTGTCACTGTAGTTCGTTGGGCGCTACGGCCCGTACAGTTGGTGCAATTCTGTTTTTATGCAATCAATCGACATCATGGTCCTACTTGCACTCAGGAAAAGGCCGACTGGAAACACCACGTAACGCGTAGGTGGAAAACGCGTGGTAGAGCGGAAACTGCACACCACTACAACACAGACGTGTACATCCTAACTTCGAGCGCAAAACGAGTTGAGTACCAATAACACGTCCTATAACATTAGTATTCACCATACCAAAAAAAATGGGCATTTATAAAAAGAAGGTAGAAAAAAATGAGCATAGATGCGATTATAAGGTAAGCGTACATGGCGGAGCACACGCAAAGTTTGTCCGAAGCATAACATTACATAATCTGAGAGATTACCTCAACGGTACCTCAGGAACGACGATACTATGGAGTAATATTTACACCTTAATGATCCGCCGTGAGGCAGCGTTCGACAGGACATAAGAAAAATAATCGACTAGCTCAAACAGATTGAGTCATTAAGTATTCATTATACATAGACACAAACGCTCATATAAATGCACAGAAACAGTCTCACCGACTAATTAGGTGTGTATTTATGCTAGCGCTCATGTAAAAGCGAACATTGACGCTAGCACGTTAGGATCTATTTAAACCCTATAATTTTAACCCTCCTTCGTATCGTAAATTATCAGCACGTACTAAATTTAACTAGTTAGCAGCGGGGTTTAAAGGGGACTAAGGTAGCATATACATATATATATATGCATATACCTATAACAGTATTACATACTGGTTTTCGTACTCATAATACTGAACGATACGATATAACTCGAGTGAATTTTCTGAACCTATATCTTTTCCTTACTCTGGACTATAGATGTCCGAAGTGTATCATTCACTCGCTTTATCGTCACTTTACACTCCGCTGTATCCTCCTGAATCTTCTCTTCGACTGAGTACGAAATACAGCGATACCCCACGGGTGCTACTACGTCCGCTTTCTATAAGGATGCCGAAATAATCCGCCTAGGTTTTGTATAGTGGCAACAGTGTAGAATGCCGTTGTGGAACACTCGTTTCTGCAGTTCAAATCACGTACCGATATGAAGTCGTCCTCCACTACCAAAAATTGATAAGCTAGAAGTCTCAGCAGCTTTGCCTTTTTCCCGGCGTTTTACTCAGTAATAGGTCTGTTTTTTGCCTGCTTCCAAACAAGCGATCCAGGTGACCCTAATTCTGTTTCTTTCTTTTTGTTTTGCTTCCTGAATGTTGCCTATCCGTTGTGACGCTCTGTAAGGACTGCAGTGGTAAATGTGGTCCAATGAGAATAGATGCGTGCAAGCAGGCGGCCTATTGAGAGCGAGTTTACGAGGCGCAACGACGAGCTCGAAGGACTCTAAGGCAGCAAGAGACAATGCGACATCAGCGATAAAAGTATACACTAGTTATGATTAGGGAGGACACTGCAATTAAATTGCCAAGTAGAGAAACGAAATACGCATTGTTTTATGTGAAGGAAAGTTTGCCGGTATCTTGCTAGGTCGTTTGTTCAAATCAGAAACGAAATTAGCATTGCGCATCTTCCCCTGCGCGTGATCATCCGAAAGGCAGTGGCGGGAAGTGAGGTAGGGCGAATAGGGGGCAAAAATCAATATGAAAATAGAAACAGCTCTGGGGACAACAGCCAATGAAAGGCAGAAAAACCAAAGAGGGAGAAAATTTGGAACGCGATACGCAGCTGGTAAGAATGCTGCCAGTTGCCACGCGTTGAAACAAATGCATAGCACATACGCTAAACGTACACTTATGTAGCGTCTGTGAGCTGCTCAGCTACGAGAAAATAAGGCCGCTAATACGGCTAGTTAGAGTACAAATATGAAAAAATCCCGATGCGAGACACCGGAAGAACTGCCGCTAGTACCCGTGCAGAAGAGGGAGACAAGATGGCGGCAACAATGACAAAAACCCTATTTTTGCAAAAAGTACAAACCTTCTCTCAGTCGTCAGAATTTAGTGTATGGTGCGAACCATCTTGGTGGTGGCAAACCTGTTGCGCGAATCGACGCATGTCGACGCCGTCCCTTTATTCTAAAGCTAATGCCGCTATTTCCTATGGAAAAAGAGGATCTGCTTTTCCACATGTTGCGGAATCCGTATTTCTCGGGGCGTCAGACAAAATCGTTTTTCGACAAAGTGCAGAACAGAGGGATCGGAGGTCCGCTGGCGTTAGCTTGTTTTGGCGAGAATTTCGAATCGAAAAGAAGAGAAAAGAAGGAAAAGGCTATCATTGTAAAGAGGGGGAAAATTCAATTTATGTGCTATCAATAGAATATAGACAGGCAGCTAAGCGCTGAAATGCCTTTCCTCTTTGTTCGATGACCTACACAATGTATGTATATATAAACAAACGACGAAGGTTATGCTTATCCTATCGTTTTATGTAGTATGTTATGACTAACTACACGTAAATGCAGATCCGCATTGTAGAGCAGCATCATAATAGATGAGGAGCATACTTTCGAATTTGACCTGATAGCCATTACTATTGAATATGCTCAAAAGATAAATTTACCTACATGTACCATGCGTTTGCTACACTTGTAGAGAGCATTTCGAGAAATTGCAAATGGTCTGCTTTCGCTGTTGTACCTTTTCATAAATCTTTTGTTACGGATATGGAGTTATCGTGTTCTCTCCGTGCACAGACGGTGACTGAAAAGCATGTTTACTCAGTCGGTGGCGCTGGTTACCATAAATTGAGCACGTAATAACCTACTTTCATTACCACGTAACCGATCTCGACATCTTGTCTGAGCAGCACCATGAAATATTACATTACTTGACTAGGCAAACGTTCTATTGACAGTTTGTTGAACTTCGCGTTCATTTATTTGCCGTTCCGTTTTGGCTTGCCACGGGAAGACAGGAGCGTTTAACCCGAACTGCCGTCACAGCAATGCCGACCCCCTTGGCAACGGGTCGATTCAGTATCCGACAGGCCTGATGACCGGTACGGTTTTGGTTAAAGCTAAAGTACGTGCACTCGAAATCTTTTTCACACAAATAGCGGATTCATATACACACAACTACATGCAAACGCAGTCGATTAAGTAAGTGAGCGAGTGACGACACTGCTTGAAGTGCTATCTTTTGCTGGTGCTGCTGTTGCTATTACGGTTTGCCAGCTTCAATAAGCCTCTAGCTTGAATAGGAAAAACAAAGCCCTAATTGGTAGAAACTTCCATCCTAAAACACGTACATGTCGCTATGTCCGGCTATTATGGCGCGCAAAACGCGTGGCGAAGTCTGTCTTTGTACGATGGAGTGCGCATGACTCTTCTTCCTTTCATGCTGCGATTAGCGACGATCCTATTTATGGCACAATGATGATTACACTTATCGAGAGAGCTATATACCCATACATGCACCTATATCACTTTTAACTTAATTTTACTATACACATTATTATGGATTCCATAAAGGATCACGTACCAGTATTGCTAATGCCGAAGGTTGCATTTGGCTCAACATACGCCAGCTCTGGATGCATTCTGTTTTTTGTTGGTAGACCGGACGATCGCTCCTTGAGTATTTCTTCCAGGAGCTCCTTTGTCCGAGGTTGGCCCGCTGCGATGATCCCGCCTGGAATACGGATCTTTCAATAATTAGAATGGCTGTATGTTGTGATAATTAACAAATTCAGAAGAAAAATATGAACCAATTTTTTAGATTTTCGTTGCTTTACTCAGAATTCAGGATATCTTTGCAAACACGCTGCTACTAAATTATACGATGAATAATGTAATGGGTAACGTTCTAGGCAAACATTACACTTTCCTACTTATTTAATAGCTTTGCGTAGTAATAATGATCATTTTGAAATTGGTCCGGCTTGCGAACCCGTGTGCCTTAATCAATTAAACAGGCCTTCTTTTTGCTTCGGTAGCTGTAGCAAATATTGTTCCTGTCAGTTGTAATTAAAGCAAAGTTAAGGCCCCAGCTAAGTTTTCCTCGAACTATTTCATCAGAGTGTAAAAAATGAATTAATTTTTCTTTATTTTATTTAATAAGTAAGGTATTGTATTGATTTTTTATTGTATTGACCTGTTGTTGCTTTTCTACGACGAAAAAATTAACTTTTTTCATAATGAAGCCAGACTTAATTTCGACCCAGAAAATGTTTCCATTTAGTTCCCCCGTTTTTTCAACATTTGGCTTAACATCGTTGCCCTCTCGATATACTGATTGCCTCAGCCAATTCGTGTTGGCTAAGTGATGAAGGAACGCGAAACCCCCTCCATTTTGCCTTTGGTTAGATATGCTAATGGCCAATTGAAGATAGGTGCGAAAGGTCTTTTAAAAAAAAAATGTTTTCGGCTACCATATGTAATATAGTACAATGGAATCCTCACGACTCTAAGACTCTGCATTATTCTCAAATTTTCTGTCTATTCTCTGCTGAGCGCTCAAACAGACGCACCCAATGATTAATTGGCGTATCAGCAATAATAAGCAAAAAAAAATGGCACTAAAAGCGTTACGTCGCTTCGACCTTCGAAGGCCATCCACACAGTGTCGACTGTCTGTCGGGAGACGCCTCCACAAATGTGATTTTTCCAATTCAGAGTCTCTCCAACGATAGGAATTCCAGTTGGTGCATAAACTTATTGGTACGGAAGTCGCCTGGCCACGCTTTGCCGCTCTATGCTTGCCTGCCCTACAACGCGTTCTCGAAAATAGCGAAGTCTCAATAAATGCTTTTCGTTGTTGCTTCAACAGCATTATCACAGTCATGACGTACTGCTTTCTCAGCTTTATTTTGTGCGAAGGACAGTAGTTTGCTTTCCCTTAGGGCTTCGTGTCAGAAATCTAGAGCCTAAAGGCAGGCCAGACCCCGGCAGCTGGATCTCAATGGAAGTTGATTTATTCGCACGATTCGTAATCGTGAACGAAATGCGCCAAACCAGACGACGAGACACTTAAAAAAACGCTGTGTCCTTTATAGCCGTTTGATAGGATTGGAGAGGGCGTTGATTTGCCCTTGACGTAAGTGAAGTTAAAACCCAGTCAGACTTTTCGGTTAGGTAAGATATCCGCACAAGTGATTTCGAGTTTCGGGAAAAGCTCAGCAAGGGTTTATTATTCTCTAAGAGGGAACAAATTCCGGCTGGGGTACCAGGGGTACAGAATAGATTGTAAATTTGCCTACAGAAGTATTAAGTAGCATAGAGAAATATACCATTTACGCCTTTGCAAATTGCTCATGGACACTGAAGCCGCCTCGCGTCTCGCTATCCGGACGTGAAGGTCGAACTCGAAAGAAATCAGCTGCTGTAGATCGGCCATGAACTGAAGCGTTTCTAGGAAGCGATACCCGAACACGAATGATCGAAATAGAAAATCGAGGTTCAACAAACCGTTACCGAAAGCACGAAGTGGATACGGAAAATTCCGGCAACGAAAAACTGCATATTGTCTAACTGTCTACATAGCGTTTAACTGTGTGGCAAATAATAAATCAAACCATTATAAAGGCAATCCATAAAGTTGTATCAATTTCTTATCATGTTATTTTGCCAATAACGCTGGATTTCAGGTGACACTCTGCGATCATACACAAATTGGGTCGGTTTATGTAAATTTCCAAAATGACTTTTAGCATCACGAACTTTACATTGCCACTACATGCTTTTAGCTTTCCCATGCAACCTGTCAGCTCACGATCTTTTGCGTGTTAGGATATAATTTGTTAATTCTTTGCATTTGTTTGCAGTAAGGTTCAACCTCGATTTCCACTGCTCCCAGCAGCCTACTAATGTAACCGCAATAACTGCATTAGATACACGCTTAAATTCACGCTTTTCTATCTAGCTTAGTACAGAAGTTTACCACCCCGGGCGTTTTAGCCCTCCGGCCTTCCTTCACCGCCGCCGCCGCCGTCGACATCGTTGCCGCCGGAGTATTTCGTCCGCCCTTACTGCCTGTTATCGCTGTTTGTTTTATGAACGGGCAGTTTCAGCCACTGCCTCCTGACATAAAGCAGCATCGCCACCTGCATTTTCCCCAATGCTGTCTTCCCGAATAGCTGACGAGCTCACCCGATGGCCGAAATCTCCTGAGCGTATCACCGCCTCTTCTATGCGTATTTAGTAGACCCCGTTCTGCTCTTGCCGACCAGGCTGGAGTTACCCGCATGCTTTCGGCCGTTTAACGCAAAGCCGATTCGGTCACTATGTTCGTCCGTTTCAGCGAAGGAAGAGAACCCACACGCCTGATGCTGTGGCGTGCGCCTAATGTAATTAGTCCTGTTCCTGTCGGACTCCATAGGCGAATGTTAAAGCTTCGCGAAGCCACTTTGTGACAACGAATACTATGAGACGTTCGTACAAAGTGGCGTTCGTAGAGTTTAGGACAAAAACGAACGGCTAGTGCTGCCAGGCAAAATGCGTATCCTTAAGTATGGGGGAAATTGTGTGACTTTCGGTGTGCGCAATTCAGCTAGAGCATTGCTCTTTGAAAAGGACTGATATAGTAAAACCCATATATCCATTTAGTCGTGTGAAATGTTGGCGTTTTGCATACACACTTATTGTACCTATTTATATACTTGGCAAAATCTTACATTGGTTGTGAAAAAAACGTTGCATCGAACTCAATTCAGCTCCTCTAACTCTAAACTCAGAATTTTAAGTAATCATCAGTGTTTTCTCTGTAGAATAGTTTAAGCTTCTGTTACTAGTAAAACCGTTAGTAGATTTTGCAGGAGCCTCGAATTCCGTAGCCAAATTACGCATTGCCCATTCGATCGACATAGGGGATTGTTTTCATTACAACTGTACAGCTAACGGGTACGGTAACTGTTAACGGCAATTGCCCTCGTTAGAAAATAACTATATAATATTGGGAAACGTATTGACTGTGTTTAAGCCAACATTGAAGCAAGTTTAAAAAATGTTTTATAAATTAAATGTGGGGCATTTTGATTAGTGGTATTCCGCCATTTTTCTGGTCACACCACAATCTCATCACTGTGGAACTTCTATAACTTCTGGGAGAGGAATTGTCACACGTAACTTTTATATCCCTCCATTGAAACAAAATGGACGCTATTCGGGATGGTCTACAAGAAGCGAGGCAGCTGATGGTTTGATGGTGCAAGATTCAAGCTATACGGCGGACGCGTGAAAATTCTCCCCGTCTAAGTCCTTCCGATTTTTAACGAACAATTAAAATTGTACTGTTAAAAAGAAAGACGATGCATTTTTTTTAATCGCTATTCATAACCATCTTTTTGCCGGTTCTACAAGACAGAAAGCATTGCCCTCTTGGCAACAATCTAAACCTAGATGAAGGGCATAATTTTTTTGGTTGATTTTTTTTATTTGCACATTTTTATCCAGTGTGATCCACTTTTGATCACCTGCGATGAATCGCGTTAGAAATGGCTTGATTTCGTTGCGTTCGCAGGCGGAAGAACGATCAGCGATTTTCTTTTGCTTTTACCCAAACATTAAACATTTTTTTTTTTAGCACACGTCTTTCGAATAGTTTAGAACCCATTGCTGACTAATCTCTTGGTGTTGTCTAGGCTACTTACGTGACGGGTTACTTAGGATCATTAACTTTTTTTGTAATTGATTGACCTTGAGAAACTTTCAGAACGAAAGCAAGAGAAACATCTCTCTCTAATCACGCATCTTGACCATAAAAATACGATTCTTTTGTGGGTTTGGGCAACATCGGTACCTTTGTTGTAACAGAATTATGAAATTTTGTGAATCTTTCGAGAGATTTGTTTTTAGGTTTGGCTACACGTGCTCCAACAACTTCAGTCCGCTATTGCTGCCAACTCTCTTCCTTTCAAATAACACCAACGTCAACGGGACATAATCCATTTACCTGAACTCTGCGACCTTAAGGTTATTTAACTAGCTAAATAGTCAATAATTTTTCGATGGTACAATACAATTTGGTAATCTGCAAGCGGAGTGTTCCTTTTCACTCAAGAGTCGTTCGGCCGACAAATATAGCTAGACGAATATATGATACAAGGCAGGCGGATAGTGGCGTACGCACGCCGCGCCCAGCACCATGTTAATTTAAGAGCGTGCACGTGCGTGAACGTTACCGTTTTTCTTATATTCACTTCGACTCAGGCAGAAGCAGACATCTCGTGCGGCCCCCATATTTTGTAGAGACGGCGGTAACAGCAACAGGTACTAAAACTTAGAAGAGTCGAGCAACACGATCACCGCGTCTTGGCAATGTAATAAGCTGAATAGCAGCAAGACACAACCAGCGCTGTATTGAAGTTACGACGATAGGTCAAGCTATATATATATATAGAACCTTCGAAAAATAGCAATTTTGCGGCGGAAAACGTCAAAGCTTATAAACAGAAGCTTTTTACAACATGCTATCGCTAACGTCAGAGTAGTTAGGGTTCATCCATTGCCGTCTATAGAAACGCCTAAATTAAGGCCAAAAATGTATCTCTGCATAATGGAATTCATAACTGTTGTCTCTCTGCGTGGTTCCATTTGGCGCTTACAGAGTCACACTTACAACTTTAGCCTTTCTGTTCGTTTATAATAATACAAAAACCCGTGTTCGGCGTCATCGTTGTATAGTTTTATTCCAAT